TTTTATAATATTTATTTTTTATTTGTTTATTTAAATTTTATGCAGAATTATTTTTTATAAAGTATTCTTAAACTACTAACTCAATTAAGATTATTTATTTATTTATGCTCCGATAAATCATCGGAGCCGAACGATCGTTAGTTTTGGTGTGACGCAGTTTGACCGTGGCAAATTGGCATGCACTATACATAACATAACAGTACATGTTATGAAAAGTGGCGCAGTTTGAAAATAAAACAAATAAAGAAACACATCGTCATTCAATTTTCAATGACAAAATCAAATTTTCTTTAAAAATATCAAGTGAGAGCAGACCAAGATATTTTTTCTTTCTATTTTTATATACATAATGCAATATAATATTACATACAATTTTGTTTTTGTAATTTTAGCGCTGTTTTCTAATACGCGAAAACAGGTCTACAAATAGCATTGATAGACAGATTGTTCTATACACATTTACAAACTTTTTAAATATACTTAGAATGCATACATACATATATCGGATTACAAGGTTACAAAGAAATTCACATGGTCTTGTTGTTTTCGTTTAGTGAACGTGTATTTGATGTGTTTTAGGCATTTGAACGCAATGCTGCCAGATTATTTGTTTTTGCTTGTTGTTTTAGTGTGTTGTGTTGCTAGTTTATTGTAAGTTTGAGTTGATTTTTTTGATAGAAGTGTGTGTGTGTTAACAGTTTATGTATTACTTGGTCTAGAAGTCTATGTAAATGTTGCGGTAGGCACCACCCTTTCTAGAAATACACATAGAAAAAGGAAATATAAAGAATTCACAAAGGGTTTAGTTTATGTTGATGCTAAATGTGTAGCCAATTATATGTGAAATAAGCGCACATTAGATAAACGAATTTAGGTTTATTTGAGGATGCATGGATCCAACGAAAATTTATGCAAATGAAAGTAAATGTTGAAGTTAAAGTGGAATTTAATACTTTTTTGTTATCTACAATACAATGTTAAATACAATTTTCTGACATGTTAGCAACATTTTTCTTACATATTGAATTGAAAATGTTTTTGTGTTTAAATGAGTGAGTTTAAGCAACTTTGAATTATGAAAAAAATTTAAGATGGCTTACAAACAAAATATGCATATATATGAATATTTGTATGGATAGCACGATAATTCAGTAGCAAATCAGCACTATTTTTATGAAAATCAATACAAGATTTGGTTGCAAAAAATAAAATGCAAACAAAAAATAAATTTAAAAAAAATAAAAATTTGTGCTATACAAAATCATTCATGGTAATCATTTATGCGTGGCATGATTTTAGGCGCTCAACGCTGTTTATGGCATTTCCTCATATTATTCTTAATTGGCATATATTTTTGTGAATATTCCGGAATATTACGTGGCAACGGAGCATATTTTTTAGTTGAGTTTGATATCCGTATTTGATACAAAAATACAAGCTTAGATATAAAATATTACTTTCTGAGTTGTATAATCTACATATATACTGCGCTACAATATATTTAGCGAGTATCAGAAAATGTTGCTAGCAACATATGATTTAGAAATAACCACACTACCGAGCTATAAGGAATAAAACCCAAGAAAAAAACGGTTGTACTGAAACTATAATAGGCTTCACAAATACAAAAGATTCCTTAGGAAAATCTGATTTTGAATTTTCAGTTTATATGGCAGCTATAGTGATTCGATATCAGCCGCTCGAACAAATGAGCAGCATTTTGGGGAGAACGCCAACGTGTGCAGGATGTCAGATCGATATCTGTGAAATTGAAGGACAGACAAGCAAACTTAATATGCCTTGTTTAAGATATAAAAATATAACTAAAAGTTAAACAAATTCTGTTGTAGAAAATTATCCGTTTGGAATTTAGAGTTATCTATACCACTGCAATGCTATGAATGCTATTTTTAACAAATATTTACAAAAAGGATGCTGGCAACATGCATTTAAAAATGTTGCTCTAAAATTTTGCATATTCTCGCACCAAAAAATTAGAAATTTTCGCTGAAAAATAATAAATATATGAATATACAGTTTCAAAACATATCACAAAACAAAAAGAAATACGAAAACTGAAGCATACCAATATTTTGTGCAACATTGTTGCAAAACTTTTTCAACCTTTGTCATAATACAAACAAAAATGCCAAAATTTAATCACAAACGCTAGCAACATTTTTTTGGTCAACATTGTTGCAAAACTTTTATACATAACATTACTAAATTTTACAAATTAATTATTAATTTTTTTACACCGCTCTAACGCTTTCATTCCTAATAACCAACGTAATATATGTATACATTTATGCAACCAATACCAATACCAATATAAGAGTATTGCTAAAAAACCCTCCTTTAAACGCTTCAAAATATGATTATTTCACATTTTGCCATTATGCATTGACTTTTGGCTCACAAGCGTGTGCTGGTCTTGTTGATCCCAAAAATCATACCACGGTCCATAAGTTTTACCATAATGATTTTTATCTTTTTCACTACCACCCCCACTACCACTCATATGGCTATTTTCGCGCGTTTTATTTTTAGACGCGCGTTCCAAAGTCATACTTGTCATATTGCTCGATTTCATGAGACGCGTGCGCGGCAGTATCGTAGCAGTCGGTGTGTTCAGCGCCGCATTCGCGTTCGCATTCGAGTTTCTTGTCAGCGTGGCACTGTTATTCATGCTGTAGCGTTCACGTTCCCGCTCACGCTCACGTTCATTGTCCTGCAGCTCCTGTTGTTTCTTTGACTTGCTAGTACTCGCTGCTACACCACTGCCTTTACGTTGCTCAACGCCATTCATTTTATTCTTCTTGTTGTTACTTTGTGGCATGGCTGATGTTGTGGTGGCGCGAAATGTTTGAAATTCCATTTGGTGCTCCTGATAGGAGTTGTGCAGTTGACGACGATGCTTCTCATCTTTACGCACCAAATGATCGTTGATCACAATACAGTCATAAGGATCCGAACTTGTGGATTTAATCTCAATATCGTCAGACTCATCCTCACTGGTGTAGTATTGCTTCAGTATGTCCTTGCGCTTAACTGTTTTCATAATCATGCCGCCAGTGGTGTTCTCATGTGAGATATCGTCGAAGAAGTTGTTAACGTCACTCATTTTGAGTGTGCCATTGTCATCGCTGTCGCCTTCCTCATCCTCTGTGGAGTGTGGAAAATCTTGTGGTTTGGCACGCGTTTGCGTCTGACTGCCGCTGCCATTCGATTTCATCTGTTGTAGATTTGCATGCTTGCCAGCGTTCGTATCCACGTTGTTCGTCTGATGTTTCTTATGGTTGTTGCTCAACATATTACGCGACGACTGCATGCCGCTCATGCTCATGCCAGCCTTGCTTTTACTCTCATGTTCATTACGCGCATGCGTATTAGCGCGCATACTCATATTCACTTGTGGCATCATACCGGCGCTTTCGCGATATTCTTTCTGATATTCCTTTTGTCCACGCTTGATTGTGCTCAAGCGTTCGCTCTCTGTTGGATTTTCGATATCGATTTCGATTGTCTTCATAATTTTCATGCGCGATTTCGGTGTGTATTCGGCACGCATTGTAGTTGCATTTGATTGCATCGAGTTGCGATTCTGTACAATTATATTCTCACGTTTTACCACTGGACTCATGCCATATATATTCTCATCATCATCGTATGCTTCCATGCTGGTCACACTGTCGTTGCGGTACTTTTCCGCCGATGATGTTGAGTTGTTAGAATGCGACTTCGTTAACGTGCCGTTCTTATCGTTTGTATTACGTATATTCTCGCGTCCATGCTCTTGCTCTCGCTCTTGTACGCCTTCAGCGTCATCTTCGTGTTCCACATGTCCATTTTCCTTATGCTGTGGACTATTCGTGCGCAATTCTTCCATATTTGGTGCCGCCACTAGATCCCGATGCTGCCAGAGCGACATACCAGCCAGTATATCTTCGTGGCGTCCACCGAATTTCCAAAAAGATTTAGTTCGCTTTATGCCACTACTTGAGGCCTGCAGTATTTCATCATCGCTGGCAATAAGATCGTAACGCATCTTCGTATTACGTCGGCTCAGTCCGTGCATGCTCTTATCATCGATCTGACTATCGACACTGTTACGGAAATTGCGATTCAAAGTCCACGAAGCAACATCCCGTGAGACGTGCGAATTGGTATCGGCACGGCGGCTGTTGTGTAGCGTATTTCAAATTAAATAGGGAGCGGTGCATTTGGCATGTATATGTATATTTATGTTTTTTTTTTTTTTTTGGTTTTGCCATTTCATTTTTTTTGTAAATGTTGGTGAATTTTGTGAGGTTTCAATTGATCAGGGATTAGCATTGTACGTTTGTATTTATGATGCAATTTTTACAAGGTAATGCAACAAATTTCGATTAGCAACATAAAATTGATGAATGGGACATGAAATGAAAAGAGTTACAGAAAGAAAAAAATTAAAATACATAAATTTTGTAATTAAATAAAAAGGGAGACAGACAAAAAATTTCGTATCTTCCTGATAAAAACAATCAAAAAAATAAAATATAAAATATTTTTTTGTCTCCCCAAAACGAAAATGTATTTAATAAAAAATGTTAAAGAAATTATAAAAAGAGAGCACTCAAAAATCTATGATTATGTACTAAGTAGTGCGCTAGCCTAGTTAGTTACAAGTAAAGAGAAAAAATAGTACAAAAATAGCTCTGACACTACGCTTTGAAGCAGAGTGTACTCACCGTATTGGCACACGACTCGTTTGTTCTTCATCCGAGTAGTCGACTTCGGGTTGTGGTGGCGGCTCATTGGCAAAGCCACTGTCATTGCTGCTATGCAATGAAGTCTTAGCTGCCGCGGCGGGTTTCATTTGACTACCACCAGCGCTCATCGATGTGGACTGTTGTTTGGCGGAAAGAATGGAACGATTCTTTAGTTAGAGAAAAAAAAGCAGAGTAAAGAATTTAGCGCGGATCTCCATAAACAGAGATCCAGAACTCACATGCGCGGCTTGTGGGCCATTTTGCAGTTTGTGCTGCTTGCGTCGCTCCACCACAGATGGTATGCCATTGGAAGCGCCACAAAAGCTCTGCGATGTATTCAATATACGACTGGCACTTTGACTCTGACTATTCGATGGCACTGGTGCAGGGAGTGTTGGTGGTGGACCGGGGCGTGGATTGCTGCCAGCTGTTGCACGGTACTGTAAATAAGTGAAAATTGTATTTATCATATTTCGCGGGAATAGTTAAGTTTAAAAGGCACAAACCTTCTTTTGATTTCGGAAAGTGTCACCGAACATGCGTGTCGGCGATGATTCCTCGGCGCTATTATTACGTCGGCGGTATGTTGAATCGCTCTCCATGGCAGGATCCATATGCGCCTCAGGCATATATTGATCATGGTAATTGCTGCGCATACCACCATTACGCTCGTAATGCACATTCTCATAACGGTCGCTACTACGTTCGCTATGGCGTTCGCTCGCGCGATACTTTTCACGCTCTCCCGTGCCCTCAGCATTGGTGTAGGCGATCGGGAACCAGCCGAACATTTGCGTGCGTAAATTTTCACCGAATTGCCAACCTTTAGCCTTACTGCCGACCATAGCTATGCGATCGCCCTCCTCGAAGGGCAGCTGATTCTCGCCCGAAGGCATATAGGCGTAGAGCGCCTTCACGACGGGACGTTGGTCCCACTGACCGTGATCGACATGATCGTTCACTGCAAGTAAACGTAGAATAAGTAAAATTTAAACATAACTTATTTCTAAGCTCCGTGCTTGCTACTCACTGTTCGTTGTAGTTGTCAGATTGAAATCGGATTTAGCGCGCGGCAACGAATTTTGCGCATAACTGATATTACTCTCATGTAAGGTACGCATATCGCCGTAGGGCGCGTCCACACTGCGTGATTTCTTAAGCTGCGAAGCAGACGAATTGCCAACAGCATGCATATCCTCGCCATCTTTGAGACGCTCCTAAAGACACACAATTAACGCAATTTGCGTGAGATGTGTGTGAATGAATGTTGCAAATACGCAAAAAAAAACAAAAAACATCAAAACATGTATCATCAAATTACAGTAACAATCATGCATTCGTACTAATCTGAACTCACCATCCTTTTGCCGGTGCTGGCAGTGCCGTACATACCGCTCGCTTCGTATACTGCCGCCGCTGGTATCACTTCACGTGAAGCAGCAATTTCTTGCCAATTTTCCAAATTGTTATCAATTACCAACTTGCCAGTGCTGTGATAGGCCATCCAGTGCTTTGCTATGGAACATTGACGTTCAAGCACGAAACCGTACCGACGGCGCTCCTGTGTCATGGCCTATTAGGCGTGTATTGAAATCAAAATTCATAAGAAATGTTAAAATGCGCTGTTTATCGTTCTTAAGTGCATATGTGCAAATGTGCTGCTTATACCTGTTGCTCATTAAATAAATTGCACGCGTTGATTTTTACTTACATTTTTGTAGCTTTGTTCGCAGAATGCGTCCAACTTCTTCTTTTGATCTTCCAATATTTGTAAATTCTGTTAGTAGAGCAGATCATATGTAAAGAAATAATCATGATTATTTAAGTAAGGTTCTTCTAATAATACAGAATATAAAATGCTTTGGAATTAAGTTTTCTAATACATGTATTTTAGGGTGAGTTAAAATAACGAATATTTTTTTGGCTTAGTACATATCTACAATCCACTTACTCTCAACTCCTTTTCTGTATTCTCTGGACTGGCCTTTTTCTTGCGCTGTTTCTTCATTGTGGAAACGGCCTTCTGATAACTCTCCATGCGTACTTTGTGCTGTTGTAAGAATTTCTTTTGTTCATGTTGAACAACTTTTGTATCCTTCTCCAAATTTGTTTCCAATGGCACCAATAAATCAACATAAAAAGCTTTCAACTGTTGGCAGATAGCAAGATAAATGTTTAAAAATCGTTTTTCTATGAGTCAGCAACATAATACTCACAATATTCATTTGTTGCTCTTGAATTTCTTTGTAAACGCTGACAACATTCATCAATGCCGCACCTTGAAAAATAGTAAAAAACGAATATGTGTAAAAAGAAGAAATTTTAAAGAATGCAATCGTTTATTGGAAACAAAAAATAAAAAAATTGAAATCATTAGTTATAATTAACATTTAACAGCAAATGAGAAAATGAGCAAATAACTCGTAAACAATACCTAATGGCAGCATATACATAGGTACTCTTGCTAAAGCAACAATGCTTTGGTTGTGTAACGCATACGACAAGCGTGTCAATAACTGCTTGCTAGTTTGTAACTTATATTCGTTTCAGCAATCAGCGCTATGTTGCCGCAACTTATTATAGCAACACGTGCAACTATAAATATAAATGCTGCAACTCCAACCGCATTTAAATGTTTGTTTGTGAGTATATAAGAGTAGCTTGTACATCCTAGCTTGCCTTGTTAGTTTTTTAAATTTATTTATGCATTAGCGTTTTGCTTACCAATATCGCTAGTTCCACTTTGTTGTGCATTCATTGCCAGCTTGGCTAATGCTTCATTGAAAAGGCGTGACGCAGATGCAGCACCTGTGCAACAATATTAAAGAAAAACACATAAAATGCTTAGCTATTTAGCAACAAAATATTTTGCGCTTATCAGTGTGCTCATTTCGATTTATTAGCAGTTATCTGATGTGAAGTATTTTGTACTCACCATGCAAAGCTTTCAAATAACCTTTGCCGGAGGAGATGAGTTGGCGTGCCCCTGGATTGAATTTCTCTAATATATTCTGCATAGAAGAACAAAGAGTTCGTTAATTAATTTGCAATAATCTGATTATATATATATTAAAGTCATTTTATTTTTCGCTGCAAAAACCAAAAAAACATGCAAATAGGAGTAGAAAAATTGTGAAGTATCTCTAGTCAGTAAAAATATTTAAAATATAGTCCTATTGCTGTCTGGCTTATTTAATACAAATTTTGTAGTAAAATCTACTGCTCTCCAAAAATAGTCTCTTATTATAAATAACATTTCTTTTCGATTCCAAACCTCAACTTTTCAGTTTGGAGACTGCACCAAGAGCCGTTAAAGACCAAGACAAAAATGTAAAATGAAACTTAATACCAAGTAACCCAACGGAGGTCTAACGAAATTTTAATTTATCACTAGGATGTGAAAAACAGTTTTTGTAACCTAAAATAAATAGTAAAATATATTTTTCTAATAAAATGGTTCATACAAAAATTCCAAGAGAATTTCGATATTTTGTCTAATTTTGTCTTTGTTTTTATTTAATTAGCATATAGCTTGGATATATAATATGTCATATAATGCAATCAGCTAGCGCATCTAGATAAATTTTATTTTATTTTTATAATTTCTTACCAACTTTCTCAAATATATGCTAATAAAAACCTCTGTAATATTAAATTTATTTTTCGTTTTTGTTTTTAAACACAAAGCATACAATCATATGCCATTTTATTAACTTTACCCTCGATCATCGATTAGTTAATATGTTAATGCGTTTCTAATTCTAAAGTTCGTTAACTTGTTGTTCTACCTTTGCTGTTTAACGATGCTCATGCGTACCTCACATGGCAGCTGTTTATTTCACGCACCGCCAATAACGTTGGAATGTGTGTCAAATGCAAATATTTTTGATTATTAATTTATATGGGACATTAAAGAAGAGGTTTGAAATGAATTTGGTGGCATATAGGAAATACTGCTAATGATATGACATATAAAAGTATACATACAAATATGATTGTGTATAGCAGATATGTGTAGATTTTAGATTTTATTGATATTTAATGAGAAAGTAGGATAAAAGCGTCAGCGTTATAAAATATTCATAAAAAAGTAATATTATTGGCATTTTTATTTTAATGTAAAACGTTTATTTTATGAAAACAAGGTAGAGCTTTAGGCGCTTTATATTATTATACCAACATTACTGTATTATGGTATGTAAACATTACTATAGATGCCAGAGTTTATGTTCCCAATGCCAATGTCATTCAATATAAGTATTGACAAGCAGCAATTCAGTTATTCAATTTTGTTTAACTGAGTATTCGCAATTGAATTCTCTCCCTTATTTAACGAATCTGGTGCTTGCCACTTTCCCATAATACTAAAACACATAGCATCACTACTTATCCACCAATCAATTCCATCGATTGAGTAAACAAATATTGTTTATTTTTATTTTGGCAAACATATACCATAAGTAATTATAAATTCCATTTTATCACAATTGTATGCAAATAGTTATGGTTTGCGCATTGACATGCCATACACGCCTAGAACTTCGTGACATTTATTAATAGTTATGAGTAGGTTGCACTTTAACTAAAATACTATGCAAATCACAATTTAATGATTACTCATTGCAATAGCATGCAATTTGTTCATGATCTATAACAAATATTTCTCACAATTATAGCATTATAGCAATGAGCAAAAAATAGTAAGACTTTGTGCATAATTTTAATATTCTTAATATATTTTTCAATATCTATGTCTGCGCTTTATGTACTTCAAAAAAGATAAGCATATACTAAACGCTGTCACTGACATTCATACCAACCTAGAAAAAAAATATTTCGAAGAATTTCCGAATTTAAATTAAAAAATCTTTCTATTTTTTGCTCAGGGTAATGATATACTACTCATATATGTAAATATATGAAATTAAAAAATAAAATAAAAAATATATAAAATCACAGAAATTATTTTACAGTCTAAACGGTCTAAAAAATATTAAGCCCCTCTGCTAAATAGTCGCTTGAAAATAACTGACACGAAAGTTAACGTGTCCACAGTTCACCATCTCGTATTGATAAACCAGTGATTAAGCGCACGCGAGATAATTAAAGTACCAAACATCTCAAAGGACTCACAAAATATATGAAATATTGGCCAAGCGCTCTTTCGTTCACTTCGACAATTCAGAGCAGTGCTTGGCCCTAGCTAAGCATAATCCGCAGTAGTATTTTATGGCCTTGGTCTACAGGCACTGTCGAAACAGTGGACTTTCTCTAGCTAATCTGCTCTGAAACAGGTTATCATTATTGACAAGAAAGCAGATGACAACTCTCTTTCTGCGACCCGCACTAAACGATGTGACTAATCTCCCCTCAAAAAATGGCAAAAACCCGCCACAAATCTACTTCTAGCATTTTTTGTTTGTGCTAATTTATTTCTACATTCATCATATCTGCCACTTGAGACGTTGTCATTCTCTAACGTATTTAAAAGTGCTATTTGATTTGTTTACTTTTGCAACATGCTTCAATATTTTATTTTATTTTCAATTTTACACGCTTATTGTAGGTGTTAAGGATTAAATAACCAAAGATTGCTAAGAGAAATATTTGAAAGGCGGAAACGGTACACATAGACGCACATATATAAAAATGTATAGCGATGCATACATATGTGTGCACGTATATGTCTACCTATGTTTTGCTACCCGCTCTCACTTGGCTTTGCAAAACAATTAAACTATTGTTGAAGCTGAATGCGCGGTGACCAGCTCAACCAGGCGACTAATTAAGCATATATGTAGGTACTTATTTACAAATTACGCTTTTTACGCTTTGCTTTTCTGCTTGGAATGTGTTATGCGCAAATGAATATTGAGATGGTGCGAGTATGTTAATGATTTATGACTGCAAAATGTTTATGAGATGTGAATGGTATGTACTTAAGAAAGGGTTTGGCGGCTGTATGGAAGTTTTCCAACTAAATGCCAACTCTTTGATGAGATGTCACTCAATGTGTATGTCTTTTTAGCACTTTTATAAATAATTGAAAAAAGAAAAAAATTATTGGCATTATATTTTACTTCCAGAGAGATGAAAACAATAAACATTACTCACTTCAAAATTTTCAACTTGAAGTGGTCTTTCAAGAAAAAATTCGTTATTGCAAATTAACATCTCTGAAACTAAAGCTAAAGCTAAATAAAACGAAAGAGCAAAATTTAATGAAGGGGTCATATCCACTTGCAAGTTAAAAAATACATTTTTTTCGCGATACATATGTTGATCAACCTATGAGGCTTTTAATTTTTTAATATTCGTTTGCACTCGAACTTAGCTTTTCCTTACTAGCACTACCTAAAATATTTCAAATACAAAAACCAAAAAATTATTTTTTTCTTCTGATGAAATGTAAAAAATTATTAATTTTAGCACTTTTTTCCTTCATAATTTTTTAATTGCATACGTTTTGTATTTTTTTATACGCAACTGATTGGCCAACAGCCATTTATCACCTCATTTTCCGCCTGCTGACTTCCTCGACACAAAACTTATTTGGCTTAAAACACTTTAAACGAGGCCTAACCTATTAAATTGTCGTCGAGCGCCACAATTAATAACAAACAACAACAAACAATAACAAGCCACACCACACTATTGCTATTGCATTTGTGCCACATTAACGACAAATTGTTGTTAAATTTTGTGGCACGTTGATTGCGTGTTATTTTGTATAATGCCATGCAGTGCTGTGTGTGTTGCTACATTTTTCGCTGGATCAAAATTTTAATTCATCAGTGCGCTTAAATGTTGTCAGCCATCAAATTATTTTATTGCCTGTGTTTTTACGAATTTAGTGCAATTTTTCAGCTTCTTCTTCTGCTTCGACGTTTATTCGTGCTACATGTTGCCCGCCTAAATTGTCTTTGTTGCGCAGTCGCATGTGTGATGTCATTTTTCACTAATTTAATTACAAAATACTTGTAAGCATGCAATTATTTCGTTCGTGAACGTGCCGTTTGTGTCGCTGCTTGTACGAATATGACAGCAAGTCGCGTATTTATTTCTGCTTATATTTTTATTTTATTGCTGTTGAGTGTGTATAAGTGAAGTAACATTGACAGTGAGTTTTAAGTGTAATTTCGATTTGACATCATCTTTATTAACTTGTACTCATTTCTTTCAACTTCGTTTGCATTTATTTGAATTCAATTTTTTTTGGGTATTTTTGTATTTTTTTTTTGGAAATTTTGCTCTTTTTTCAGATAAATTTGTGTACTATTGCCTTCTCGAAGACTTTATTTTGACCGAATCGACTTTACACTAAATTATGTATTATAAAAAAAAAAATGGACAACAAACTCACGACACAAATAATATTTGCAGTTTTATTTATCATATACTTTTTTTTATTAACAAAAAAGAAGGCAAATGGCACTGTATGGAGCGCAGTAATGCAGGTTGCATCAAAAACTGGTTTATATTTGAATCAGCTATAGAGAGAATATCTGAGTCTGATAGGAGTGTCGAGGGTTTTTTCTACATCAAACAGTTTCAAGAAAGTGGGGAATTGTTTTTGGTGTTAGCAGACAAAAAGAAAAATATTTTATAATATATATTATATAATCATTTCTGAAAGATTTCAAAGGCAACACAGTGCTTTCAAGGTATTTAAGGGGGTTTATGTGCTTGCAAGGCATAAAAGTCGCATTTTTTGTAAACTACCTTATAAATAAATAAACAAAAGTATATTATATCAAAGGCAATTATGCTAAATATGCTTCTAGGTAAAAACGCATTCAAAGAAAATACGAAATAAGTCTTCCACTATATAGCTGTCGGAAAAAACGAATAGCGTCAACTCGCCAAATTTTAGAGTAACGAATCGAACAAACAACTGGTATAAATACAACATAGGAGACTAGTATAAATACTTGAAACTGATACAATCGCTTCAATTCACAAATTTTACAGAGTTGGGATTTGAAGGTATAAATAGAGGAGACGTAAAATA